CATTTCTGAATTTCTGAGTTTCTGAATTTCTGAGTTTCTGAATTTCTGAATTTCTGAATTTCTGAGTTTCTGAATTTCTGAGTTTCTGAATTTCTGAATTACTGAATTTCTGGATTTTTTGAATTTCTGAATTTCTGAGTTTCTGAATTTCTGAGTTTCTGAATTTCTGAATTTCTGAATTTCTGAATTTCTGAATTTCTGAATTTCTGAATTTCTGAATTTCTGAATTTCTGAATTTCTGAATTTCTGAATTTCTGAATTTCTGAATTTCTGAGTTTCTGAATTTCTGCATTTCTGAATTTCTGAATTTCTGAATTTCTGAATTTCTGAATTTCTGAATTTCTGAATATTTGAATTTCTGAATTTCTGAATTACTGAATTTCTGGATTTTTTGAATTTCTGAATTTCTGAGTTTCTGAATTTCTGAATTTCTGAATTTCTGAGTTTCTGAATTTCTGAATTTCTGAATTTCTGAATTTCTGAATTTCTGAATTTCTGAATTTCTGAATTTCTGAATTTCTGAATTTCTGAATTTCTGAATTTCTGAATTTCTGAATTTCTGAATTTCTGAATTTCTGAATTTCTGAATTTCTGAATTTCTGAATTTCTGAATTTCTGAATTTCTAAATTTCTGAATTTCTGAATTTCTGAATTTCTGAATTTCTGAGTTTCTGAATTTCTGCATTTCTGAATTTCTGAATTTCTGAATTTCTGAATTTCTGAATTTCTGAGTTTCTGAATTTCTGAGTTTCTGAATTTCTGAATTTCTGAATTTCTGAGTTTCTGAATTTCTGAGTTTCTGAATTTCTGAATTTCTGAATTTCTGGATTTTTTGAATTTCTGAATTTCTGAATTTCTGAATTTCTGAATTTCTGAATTTCTGAATTTCTGAATTTCTGAATTTCTGAATTACTGAATTTCTGGATTTTTTGAATTTCTGAATTTCTGAGTTTCTGAATTTCTGAGTTTCTGAATTTCTGAATTTCTGAATTTCTGAATTTCTGAATTTCTGAATTTCTGAATTTCTGAATTTCTGAATTTCTGAATTTCTGAATTTCTGAATTTCTGAATTTCTGAATTTCTGAATTTCTGAATTTCTGAATTTCTGAATATTTGAATTTCTGAATTTCTAAATTTCTGAATTTCTGGTAATTTCTCAATTTTTGGGGATTTTCCCAAAAAATTGTCCAATTTCCTCCTCATCTCCCCTGTCAATGTGTCCGAAAACAGCCCATTTATTTTGGAACGAGAAAGTGAGGGACCTTTCAAATTTTCTCCATTTTTCTCTGCGTCTCTTCATTTCTCTATACTCTCTCGTCGTTTTCCGTTTACCTCTATTTTTCGGGAAAAACGAAGAAAACGAAAAAAAAAAGAGTCAAAACATCTGGGATGTAAAGAGAGAGGAAGAGAAGAGATATATGTTGGAGATGGGTTTTTTTGGGTTTTTTTTCTGATTTTTGCAGAAAGTTGGACCCTTTTTTTCGAAAAAACTTTGATTTTTTAAACTGAAAACAATCTGAAAATTCAGGTTTTTTTTTTGAAATTTTTTCGTGTTCATTTTTTCTGGATTACCGTAAGCACTCTAATAGAACGATACCCAAATCGACTATGTTGAGCTTATTTATCTCGATTCCTATAAAAGATATCAAAAAGTAATTAATTAATAAAGTGTTGCTGATATAGTGATAAACATTTTATCAGTTGACAAATTTTTGATATCTTTCAAAAGAAGTGAGATATATAGGCTCAAAGTGAACGATCCGGGTGGCGTTCTATTTTTTGGATTTTCTCAAAATTTAGATTCTCCAATTTTCTGGATATTGAGGAATTTCAAAATTTGAATTACAAATTTCATATCCTAATTTTCATAATTTTGAAATTCCCAAATTGTTCATAATTATTCGAAATTTCGAAATTTTTTGAAGATATTGTGAAATTCCCTTTTTGTCAATTTTTTTTTCCAATTCTCCAAAGCAAATTTTACCATTTTTTTCGAGAAAAAATTTTGGAATTTTCCAGGTCACTTAACTTTTTATGTTTGGTCTGGACACGGAATTTTATATTTTTGTGGTCCGGAAGCTTTCCATTTTTCATACTTTTCTCCCAGCTTTTTATGTCACGCAACCATACTTTTTTCCAAAATTTTCAAGTTTTTTTCCGGAAAAAATTTTTCTCAAATTTTCAGATATTCTCCGAAAAATTACCCTTTTTTTGGCTGGAATTACCTTTTTCGGATTGCTGAAAATCCCTAAAAAATCACTGAAAAATGAGCGGTTCCGGTGAGAAAATGATGGGAGCAAGAAGTAATTTTTTGAATATTTTTTCCCAAAAAAATTGTAGAGAGTTCGAAAATTATAATTTCAACAGTTTTGACCCAAATTTGGCTGAAATTGGTCAAATTTTAATTTTCGGCAAAAAATTCAAAATTCAAAAAATACTTAACTTTTCTCAAAAATTGATATCAAACTGCCCGGAATAAATGTTTTCCGAGTTTTCCATCAAATTTGCGTTATTTTGAGCTCCATATTGCCTATATTGGGTCAATTTTGATTTTCGACCGTTTCGACCGCGGACGGTCGAAACTCAAATATAGGCAATATGGGGCTCAAAATGAATAAAATTTTGAAGAGAGTTCGAAAATAATAGTTTCCACTGTTTTAACACAAGTTTAAACAGAATTGCGCTTTTATAATTTTTGGCGCCAAAAATCCAAAAATCCGAAAATTTTGAAAGTTTGCTCTGAAAGTGATTGACTTCCCTGAAACTATGATTGTCAGGGTTCTCATAAAGTGTGTGTCATCTTGAACTTCATATTGCCTAAATTTGGTCAATTTTGATTTCCGACCGCTTCGACCGCCAAATTTGGTCGAGAATCAAAATGAGTCATATATAAGCAATATGGGGCTCAAAATGTCAGAAATTTTATAGAGAATTTGAAAAAATTATTTCGACTGTTCTAAACCAAGTTCAAACAAAATTGGGAATTTATAATTTTTGGCGCCAAAAATCCAAAAATCCGAAAATTTTGAAAGTTTGCTCTGAAAGTGATTGACTTCCCTGAAACTATGATTGTCAGGGTTCTCATAAAGTTTGTGTCATTTTGAACTTCATATTGCCTAAATTGGGTCAATTTTGATTTCCGACCGCTTCGACCGCCAAATTTGGTCGAGAATCAAAATGAGTCAAATATAAGCAATATGGGGCTCAAAATGTCAGAAATTTGATGAAAAAAATCGAAAATCATTATTTCAACTGTTTTGAATCAAATGTTAATTTCCAGGTCACTGAATCTCTTTAAATTTCCTAAAAGTTTTAAAAATTCTAAATTTCTGGAATGCTGAAAAAAAATTTCCTGACATGATGAATAAGGATTATCCATCCATATTCATTAATCCTGAAAGCTTTTCTAGAGAAAAAAAATAGTGCAAAAAAGTAAGAGACGCAGAGAAAAGGAGTGGGATCTTGTCACATGATTACATTTGACATCTTTTTCTTTTTATATTTTTTCCCCTTTTCTGACCAAAAATTGCTCATTTTTCCCATTTTCGGCCTCATTTTGAGCACAAAAAAGGCTAAAAATGGTCCAACAAGACCCCCATAAATCCCGTAGGCCTACTCGTAAGTTTGTAGAAAATTTTTAAAAAAATTTTTAAAAATTTGTTTTTAAAAATTTCAAAAATCTGAAATTTCCAGAAATCACTCTTGGCACTGATCAGGATCCATACAATAAGGAGGAGTTGGTCAATACGCTCAAGGTAAAGGAAGCATGACCTAGATTTGACCTAGATTTCATTTTTTAGGCCATGACCTAGATTTCCAATTTTTAGGTCATGACCTATATATCGGATTTTTAGGTCATGCCCTAGATTTCAATTTTTGGGTCATGACCTTGATTTGGAATTTTAGGTCATGACCTAGATTTCGGATTTTTAGGCGATGACCTAGATTCCGAATTTTAAGCTCATGACCTAGATTTTCAAAATTTTTGGCTGAAAATTCTCAAAATTAAGAACTTCAGGGCCGCGAACTTGGCCTATTCGTCGTCTTCTACATCTGCGCCGTGCTCTTCATCGTGATGACGTTCGAATTCTTCAAACCAATCTTTTTCACCAATAATTACCCTAATTAAATAATTGATTAAAAAATTAAATACAACTTTTTTTCTCAAAAAATTTTTTATCAAAAAATTATTATAAAATATACAATTATTAATTAAGGGTAATTAAGTGCACTAATTAAGTGTACCGCTCCAAAAATTTCATCACAGTTTCGAAATTCTTCTCCTTATCCATTTTTCGAATCATTCCTGCTGGATTACGGTCATGGACCTGGGACAAGAAAAGTTAATTAGTCTAATTTAGTAGTTAATTACCACGTATGCAATATTATCATCATCGAAAAATAGCTCTCCAGTCGATCGGACGCGGTCCAGGACGCGAGGCCAAATTGGTCTGAAAATTTTCAAAATTGTCTAAAAATGGTCATGTTTGGGCTTAAAATGTTGGAAATTTCAAACCTGATTTGAAAATGATGTCTACTTTTCGATAAAACTCCAAAAATCACAGATTTTGGACAATTTTGAAAATTTGATGCCGAAAATTCAAAAATTTTAAAATTGTCCAAAATCGGACATGTTTGGGCTCAAAATGTTGGGAATTTCAAAATCAATTCAAAAACAAACATCATTTTTGAAGTTTTTATTGAATTTTCAACTTTTGGAACCCAAACATGACCAATTTTGGACAATATTGGAATTTCTGGAATTTTGGCGCCAAATATTAGGAATTTTCAAAATTGTCCAAAAATGGTCATGTTTGGGCCCAAAAAGTGGGGAATTTTGTGGTTAATTTATATATAAACACCAATTTTGCATTTGTCTTGAAATTCCCAACATTTGGAGCCCAAACATGACCATTTTTGGACCATATTGAACAATTTGGAAATTTTGGCGCCCAAGATCCTAAAATTTCAAAATTTCCCAAAAATGATCATGTTTAGGCCCAAATAGTTGGTAATTTTATGCTCATCTTGAAAATTATTTTTTTTTTTGAATCAAACATAAAATTCTCAACATTTTGAGCTCTAACATGACCATTTTTGGACAATTTCGAAATTGTCGAATTTTTTGAATTTTTGAATTTTTGGCGCCAAAAATCCCAGACCTACTTTCCAGCGACATAACCAATCGGTTTCATGTAGTCTCCCTGGCGAATACGAGAGTCAAATGTGTTTCGGGTTTCTGGAATTTTCAGATAATTCAGAATTTCGAAAAAAATTCACCTTGAGCATATTTCAAATGGTCCAGGAGGTCTTGGCGGGTCAATCCATGTACAGTAACCCAAAAAATTGACAAAAGTAGAGAGAAAATGATTAGATTTTTCATGATAAATGTCAAAAGAAAAAAGAAGATTTTCTGGATTTTCGGGGGAGAAAATGGGAAATTGATAAGAAGTTGAGAGATAAGAGACGCAGGGAAAAAGAAACAGGATATGACAGTGATACTGATGATTTCTCTCATCACTTGGTCGTTTTCTCTTTATTCTTATCAATTGGGTGGTTTGGGAAGGAAATTTCAAAAAAACGTTCAATTTCTTCCAATAATTTATTTTTGGCGCCAAATTTCAAAATTTCGAGAATGGGGCTAAAAAATTGGGCATCTGAAAAAATCTGAAAATTTGAAAAATCATTTTTGAACATTTTGAATGAAAAAATTTATTTCAAAAAAAAAAAAAATTCACAATAATAATCAAGAATCAATGATAATTTCTTCTTCTTGGCATTTTCGGTCGTACACAAGTTTCTGATTGTCAGAAATTTCAGAAATTTCAAAATTGACCAAATTCTATCATTTTTGGGTTGAAAATGTAGATTTGGCTAAAATTCACTTTTTTTTCCAAAATTCTTTGCTAACCGTAAAACCTCTATTAGAACGACACCCGGATCGTCCAATTTGAGCCTATATATCTCACTTCTTTGAAAGATATCGAAAAGTGG